TGTTGTTGATTTTTTTGTTGTTGTTGTTATATTCTTTTTTTTTATAAAAAAAAATTCTAAATTTTTCTACAAACTACAAATGCTTGGTTTTATGCGCGTTATATTTGTTGTTGTTGTTTTTTTTAATATTGGGATTGCTTGTTTTTCTCAGGGTGAAACTTGTTTTTTACGAGGGAGAGGATTAAGAGGGAAATCGAATTTTATCGAATTTAAAAATTGTTTGGACCAACTATACACAAAATTATTGAATTAAGATGGGCAAGAAGAAAGAGAAATAGAGAGATAGCGAGAGAGAGAGAGAGAGAAAACGAGAGGGATGCATAGTTGAAGGATAAGGGCCATCTGTTCTCTCTTTCCAAAAATAAATTGTCTTTCATCCATGGCTAGAATAGAGGCGAGAGAGATGGACAGGACTCTCACCTCTGCTCTCTTTCCAAAACCCAATGCATAGGTGAATGATAAGAGTCATCTATGCTCTCTTTACAAAAAAAAAAAATCATTCATGGGTAGAAGAGAGGAGAGAGATCAACAGGACTCCTACCTCTGTCCTCTTTCCAAAACCCAGTGCATAAGTGAGAGATAAGAGTCATCTCTCCTCGCTTTCCAAAAAATGATCTTTTATTCATGGGTAGAAGAGAGAGAGCCAGAGAGGTGCACAGGCCTCTTACCCCTGCTCTCTTCCCAAAACCCATTTTTTCCGAAGTTTATTTCTTGTGTTCTTTGATTTCATAAACATTTTCATAAAACTTATGAACAGGAGTTTTTGGCTTTTGAAAATAGAGAGAGAGAGAGAGCGCGTTTTTCTTCTCCCTTCTTAAACACAACCATTAAAAAATTGTCTGGAAATCTTGCAGAATCTGGCATACAATTAAACACCATTTTCACCACAAATCTATCTTCTCGAAAAGATATATAACTCCCTTCTCCCTTGGGAGCAGAAAATCTTTTCTCCACTTTGAGAACCTGTAAAGAAGGGTTATTTAAAAAATTCATTTAAGAAAACTTTAAATTTCAATATTTATTTGAAAGCCAAAAAATACGGAAGTGATTCTAAGAAAAAGATGACTGAGTTGTGTGGTCTCAAGAGATCGGGAGATATGGTAACGATAGAGATAGCGAGAGAGAGAGAGAAAGGGATAAAGAAAGATGACTGAGTTGTGCCGTGACTAATTAATGCTTCAAGAGAACGGGAGATATGTTAAGGTAGCAAGAGAGAGAGAGAGATAAAGAATTATTAGAGAGAGTAGATAAAAGTATCTCATTGAAGGCATACAAAGGTCTATTTTTGGGGGGAGAATTGAAAAAGAAGATTCAAAAAATGACAAGAAATGATGAAAAAAGAACGGGAGCCATGGTAGCGAGAGAGTGAGAGAGAGAACAATATAAAAAAATATGGCTAAGTTGTGCGGTGACTAATTAGAGAGATATGGGGAGATATGTTAAGGACGTAGCCAGAGAGAGAGAGAACTATGAGAGAGTAAATAAAAGTATCTCTTTGAAGGCATACAAAGGCCAATATTTGGCGGGAAGAATTGAAAAAGAAGATTCAAAAATGACAAGAAATGTTGAAAAAATAATGGGAGCCCTGGTAGCGAGAGAGAGAGAGAGAGAGAGAACGATATAAAGAAAGATGGCTAAGTTGTGCGGTGACTAATTAGTGCTTCAAGAGTACGGGAGATATGGTAACGATAGAGATAGCGAGAGAGAGAGAGAGAGACAAAGAACTATAAGAGATATAAATATCTAATAGAAGGCGTATAAATCTCTACCTTTAGGGGGAGATAACTTGAAAAACAATTTTCAATAAATGACAAGAATTGCTGGAACTTTCTTAAAAGCCCATTTTTGAAAATTAAAAAAAAAATTAAAAAATAAAGAAAAAATAAAAATATTTGTAAATGTTGAAAAACAATATTTTTTTTTAAAACTTTTACTACTGTTTTAAGGAGAGAAAATGTGAGGGTAATGAGAAAAAATTTTAAAATTAAAAAAAAATTAGAAGAGAAGAATTTAAAAAAAAAATAAAAACAAAATTTATGTAAAAACCTGGGAAAAAATGTTGAACAAATGTTTGAATTAAAAAAAAAAATAGAAAAGGAATTTTTTAAAATTTTTATTTTTACGAACATTGTATAAAATCCAGTAATACTTGTTTAAGGGAAGAAAATGTGAAAAATAATGATAAGAAATGTTGAAAAAATTTTTGGAATTAAAAATAATTTTTTTCTTTTTGTTTTTATAAAAACAACAATAATGGGATTTTGCCTGACGATTTTGCAACAACAAAATACTATGGTATCCCAAACAAGCAAGCCAAACACTGTTCTATTAATAGACACAGGCACGGTCGACGAAGGGGTTTTTGTTGTAACAGACAAAACAAACTTACATGGTTATGTTACTTCGTTCAGGTTGAACGAAAGCATAACAAAGTGGAGAAAGATGTAAATGTTTATAAGTGCGGTTGTAAGATTTAGAAGATTTTCCAAAAGAATTTTAGTTTTATGTAATTCTTTTGTTCCTCTTCTATTGAGCTTACGATCTCGTCACTTGGGTAAAAAATGTTTTTTGTCATAGAAGTTATTTTTAAAATAACTTCTGGGGAGAATATCCCAGACAAAAACAAGGGAACTGATGAGGATTGGTGGCTCTTTCCGAAACCTAGGTATTCCCTGCCTTACCCCCTGGTAAACATTACCATCGTTCTCCACTCATAAACAAACGTTGTTTTTATAAAAACAACAATAATGGGATTTTGCCTGACGATTTTGCAACAACAAAATACTATGGTATCCCAAACAAGCAAGCCAAACACTGTTCTTTAAAAAAAAATTAAAAAAAATCTCCAAAAATACCTACTACTACTGTTAGGAAAGATGATGTGAAGAACAGTGAGAAGAAATTTGGAAAAAAAAATTATTTTTTTTTATTTTTGGAATAAAAAATTGTTTGAAAAAAATTTCTAAAAAAAACATTTGAAAAAATACCAATATTTCTTTTTTGTTGATTCGTTGGTTATAAAACCCGAAGCAAAAACCGCAAAATAAAAGTAGAAAAAAATTTAGAATAAAAAACAAAATTTTGGAAAAAGTTCGAATTTTTTTTGGAAACAAATTTTGTTAAAACAATTTGAAATTAAAAAATGAAAAAAAAAAATTGAAAAAAACTCAAATCTTTTTTAAAAAAGATTTTAAAATTGTCTTGGAAAAAATACTTCCACTACTACTTTTAGGAAAGATGATGTGAAGAATAGTGAGAAGAAAAAAACCGCAAAATAAAAGTTGAAAAAATTAGAATTTATTTTTTTTTTTTGAAAAAAGATTTAAAATAATTTTAGGAAAAAAACCTCTGCCACTACTTTTAGGAAAGATGATGTAAAAAACAGTGAGAATAAATGTGGAAAAAATAATAGATTTTTTTTGGAAAAAAAATTGAAAAAAAAAATAAAATTCAAAACAACTTTCCTGTACCAATAACCGCAAAATAAAACTTGAAAAAATTAGAATTTAAAAAAATACTTTTTTTTTTAAAAAATTATTTTTTAAAAAAGATTAAAATGTTTTTTTTTTTGAAGAAAAGTTTTAAAACAGTTTTTGGAAAAAGTACCTTCACTCTCTAAAAAATTACAAGAACTGTTAAAAAAATTGGATTTTTTTTGAAAATAATTTTAAATTGAAAAAATAGAAAAAACAGGAAAAAATAAATATTAAAATAAACAAGTGAAGAATGTCTTAAAGTCGGGTACAAAAAGATTAAAATGTTTTTTAGGAAAATTTTTAAAACAGTTTTTGGAAGAAGTACCTTCACTCTCAAAAAAAAAAATACAAGAACTTAAAAAAAATGAATTTTTTTGAAAATAATTTTAAATTAAAAAAAATAGAAAAAAAATATTAACAAAATAAATATTAAAAAAATACCAATACTACTATTTTAGGGGAAGATAATGTGAAGAAATGTCGAAAAAAATTTCGAATTCAAACAAAAATTGAAAAAAGATTTAAAAAGTTTTTTTTTATTTTCTTTTTGATAATAATTTTATATTAAAAAAATAGAAAAAAACTGGAAAAAATAAATATTAAAAAAAAACAAGTAAAGAAAGTTTTAAAGTCGGGTATAAAAAGATTAAAATGTTTTTTTTTTGAAGAAAAAATTTTAAAACAGTTTTTGTAAGAAGTACCTTCACTCTCAACAAAAAAAAAAAAAAAAAATACAAGAAAGTTAAAAAAAATTTTTAATTTTTTTGAAAATAATTTTAAATTAAAAAAAAAAATAGAAAAAAACTAAATATTAAAAAAATACCCATACTACTATTTTAGGGAAAGATAATGTGAAGAAATTTCGAAAAAAAAATTAGAATTCAAACAAAAATTGAAAAATAGATTTTTAATTTTTTTTTTTGAAAAAAAATATTTTTTGTAAAAAATACCTCTACTGCTACTTTTAGAAATGTGGAAAAAACTTTAGATTTTTTTTTTTGAAAAAAAAATTGAAAAAAAATTCTAAAAAAACATTTGGAAGAAATACCTGTATTTTTGTTGTTGCATTTGTTGGTTATAAAACTCCTATGCTAATATCCGAATTGAACCTCAATCATATCACAACATCGAAGCCAAAACCGCAAAAAAACATCAAAAAAAAAGACTGAATTTTGAAAATTTTTCCAATTTTAAAAAATTTAATTAAAACTTTTAATTAAAAAACAATTGTATTATCCCCCGATCTCCACCCCCTCGAAAACTGTCATTAATTTATTTTTTTGTTATTATTTTCATTTTGGAATTAGTTGGCTTTAATTTTTTTCTTGTTTCAATTTTTAAATGCTATATAATAAATAAATTATATATATATTTTTTTTGTTTTTAAATAGATATTGTATGTATAAGTACAATATGTTTTTGTTAGCTGCGTTTTTTTTTGTTGTTCTTGTGTTTGCTGTTATTTTAATTTTTTTTTAATAAATTTCGATTCATTTTCTGTTAACTCCTCTTCGATAAATTTAGTTTTTGTTTTTTTTTATAAATGGCAAAATTGATTATCCGCTTTGGAATTTGTCTATTTTCGATAGACCATACGCTTTTGGGCGAAACATTCGCCAAAGAAACGATCCAATGAATGATATAAATGAGGTCTAACACCGGCTAAAGCATGATCTTCATCGGGATAGCTCTGAAAAGGAAGAGAGAGAGAGAGAGAGAGAGAGAGAAAAGAAGACAAAATATTAGTAAAAACACATTTGGATAATGAGATAACATTTTTTTAATTATCCGTATCATTTGGATAAAAAAACGTGGGGTTATCCAAATCTTTGAGATAATGATTTAAGGTTATCCGCATCATGGGGATAACGATTTTTTGCCATTCAAATCATGAAAACAATGATTTAAGTATATCCGAAAAATGTGGATAAAAATTTTAGGTTATCCACATCATGTGGATAAACTGGATAACATTTTCATTTTATCCATGCAATGTGGATAAAGTTTTAAGATAATTTACAGAGCGTGGATAAAATTTCTAGGTTATCCACATAACGTGGATAACATTTTTGCTTTATCCGGATAAAGTGGATAACCGGTTTTGGATCATACAAATAATGCGATTAACATTTATTAGATTATCTGCAAAATTCGGATAACAGCGGATAAAATTGTTATGTTATCCATTCATCAAATAGGGCAATTTGAGTTATCCTGCATAGCGCATATGATTTTTAAGGTTATCGGATAATGTTATTATGTTATCCGCGTGTCACGGATAACGGTTCAAGCTTATCCGTGCATCGTGGATAACCTGTTAAGGCTATATAAGTGACGCGGATAGAGTTTTTAGGTTATCCATGAGTTGCGGATCAAATGATTAGGTTATATAAGTGACGCGGATAAAGTTTTTAGGTTATCCGTGGGTCGCGGATAAAATGATTAAGTTATATAAGCGACGTGGATAAAGTTTTTATGTTATCCGTGCATAACGGATATAAGTTTTAGGTACCCGAACACCACGGATAACGTTTCTTGGTATACCGGATACAGTTTCAGGATTATCCACGCGCCGCGGATAACATTTCGCGGTTATTTGAATGGCGCAGATAACATTTTAAGAACTTTCGTAACAACGTATAACTCTTTTAGGTTATCCGTGGGTCGCGGATAAAATGGTTAGGTTATATAAGTGACGCGGAAAAAATTTTTAGGTTATCCGTGCATAGCGGATAAAAGTTTTAGGTTATCCGTACTTCATGGATAACGTTTCTTGGCATAGCGGATACAGTTTCAGGATTATCCACGCGCCACGGATAACCTTTTTCAGTTATTTGAATGGCGCAGATACATTTTTAAGCAATTTCGATGCAACGGATAACAGTTTTAGGTTATCCGTGGGTCGCGGATAAAATTATTAAGTTATATAAGTGACGCGGATAAAGTTTTTAGGTTATCCGTGCATACCGGATATAGGTTTTAGGTACCCGAACATCACGGATAATGTTTCTTAGCATAGCGGATACAGTTTCAGGATTATCCACGCGCCGCGGATAACATTTTTCAGTCATATGAATGGCGCAGATACATTTTTAAGCAATTCCGAAACAACGGGTATCGTTTTTAGGTTATCCGTAGGTTGCGGATAAACTGATTAGGTTATATAAGTGACGCGGATAAAATTTTTAGGTTGCATATCGGATAACAGTTTTAGGTACCCGAACATCACGGATAACGTTTCTTCGCATAGCGGATACAGTTTCAGGATTATCCACGCGCCGCGGATAAGATTTTTAAGTTATTTGAATGGCGCAGATAACATTTTAAGGACATTCGTAACGACGGATAACAGTTTTAGGTTATCCGTGGGTCGCGGATAAAACGATTAAGTTACATAAGTGACGCGGATAAATTTTTAGGTTATCCGTGAGTAGCGGATAAACTGATTAGGTTATATAAGTGACTCGGATAAAGTTTTTAGGTTATCCGGGCATCTGCGGATAAAAATTTTAGGTTATCCGTACATCATGGATAACATTTTTGGGCAGAGCTGATGAAGTTTTAGGATAATCCGCGCGCCGCGGATAACATTTTGAGGTCATTTGAATGGCGCAGATACATTTTTAAGCAATTTCGAAACAACGGATAACAGTTTTAGGTTATCCGTCGATCGCGGATAAACTGATTAGGTTATATAAGTGACGCGGATAAAGTTTTTAGGTTATCCGTGCTAACGGATATAAGTTTTAGGTTATCCGAACATCATGGATAACATTTTTAGGTAGAGCTGATAAAGTTTTAGAATTATCCGCGACGCATGGATAATATATGAACATTACCCGCGACGCGTGAATAATAATTGTTAAAAATTTTATCCGCGTATCACGGATAAAGTTAAGGTGACATTCTCAAGACATCCGAAACAACGGATAACGGTTTTGGGTTATCCGTGCATCGCGAAAAATTTATCCATGCGTTGCGGATAGAATTTTAAGGTTCTCCATTTACTTCGAATAAGAATTTTATGTTATCCGAAAAAAGGCAGATAAGGATTTTATGTTATCCGTAGAACGCGGATAAAATTCAATTTTCAAAACTGCGGAAAAAATTCCATCCAATTACCCACATGGAAGATAGAGTTACCTCTTTGGTCTCTTATTTTTATGTGGGCCTCTGGTAAGGTTCCCCTCCCCGCACCCCCAATACTTACAATTTGCTTAAACAGAATATCATGTCTCTCCAAATTCTTGGCCAATATCATGGCCTGCTGATAATGGACATTATCATCCAGGGTGCCATGGACCAGCAGGAATTTCTTGCCCTTCAAATTTGTGGCCTTGGTGCTGAGGCGGGAACTGGCATAGCCGATTTCGTTGAGTGTGGGCAGGCTCATGTAACGTTCGGTGTAAATTGAATCTGAAAAAAATGAGAGAGGTGAGTATTGTTTAAAAATTGGAAAGGGTAAGGTTGGGGGGTTTGTATGACTTACCATAGTAGGCCCAATCGGTGACGGGGGCAATTGAGGCAGCACAACGGAAGACATTGTTTTTATCATTGGCCAAGGCCATAGCAGCCGCATAGCCACCATAACTCCAACCCCAAATGCCAGAGTGTTCGGCATCAATGAAGCGATGTTTTTTTTGTAAATACCTGGAAGAGGGAGGGAAAGAGAGAGAGAGAGAGGATTTAAATCTCTGGATTTGATGAGTAACTGAATTTTTAGTCCGCCTTACTGGGCCACTTCAATTTGATCGGCAATTTCCACGGTACCCAATTTAAGGTAAACCGAGTGCAACAGTTTTTCTCCTCTCAGTCCCGAGCCACGTCCATCAATTTTGACATAAATCACAGATTGATTTGAGGAAAGATAGGTGCCCCAATCCAGGATCCATTTGTTCACAACCTAAAGCAGAGGAAGCCGAAGAAGAATGCCAATTATTCCAAAAACTCTTTAATATGCCCCCCACACTCCCTGACCTACCGAATAGGAATCTGGGCCACCATACACATCGACCAACATGGGATATTTGGTTTTGCCACTGCGATCCAGATTGGGAGGTAGCTGCATCAAAACCTTGGCCGAGAAACCATTTGACATTTGTACCGTCTCAATTTCGATTGTGGGCATGGCCGTACCCTCCAGTTTGTGGCGTAGATTATCATTGTGTTCCCAATCCATTAATTTGCTCAAAGAAACTTGATCTGGAAGAAGTAACGGATTTAAATCAGCTCGAAGGACCAAAAAAAAAAAGAGAACACTTAAAGACCTAAATCAATGGGAACTCAAAACTTACTTCCCGAATAACTCCATTCATAGACTGAGGTAATGGGTATGCTTGGTCCCATAGAGGTGATTACCACCTGATTGGCAGTATTAAAATCGGCACTGTAATAGGTCTGTTCCACACCTAAAATCCAAAGAAAATTAATCGAAAAATCACCACACCACACCCCTCCCCGTCCCACTCACCATTCGATGTATGTAATTTACAGGTCAAACATTTGGCCGTTTGTCCCGTGGCCGCCCTAATGGCATAGACGTGTAAATATTCCGGATTTTGTTCAGTATTGGCGGTATAAAAGATCACATCGCTCCCGCTGTCCCAATGCAGAATGGAGGTGACAACATATTTACCCTTGGTTATGGCCTCGGGTTTGTTGCTGCCCGACGAGGTGGCCAGCAGACACAAATGACGATAGTCACCGCCATCAACCTGGGTCTGAGGCAAGATTAGGGCAATGCGAGAACCATCACGATTTTTGAAGGGGGCGGCAAAGAAGTCGACCCAACCGGTTTTCGATTCCAAACTGAAGATCTGAGAAAAGAAGAAGAAAAAAAAAAAAAAAAAGAATATGAATATGTTTTCTTTGAAGGAAAGTTATCGATAACGTTTTTTTTTAAAAAATAGTTTTTCTATAACGAAAAAGTATCGATAACTTATTTTTAATAAATTTTCTTTAAATAAAATTAGTCGATAACGAAAAATTATCGATAACTAATTTTTAACAAATTTTCTTTAAATAAAATTAATCGATAAGTTCTTTTGCTTAAGGTGCTCAATAATAATAAAAAGAAATAAATCGATAACATATTTTCGATAACAGTTCGTTTGGCGAATATGTCGATAACAACTTTTCAATGGAAAAAAATAATCGATATCTTCATTTCGATGTAGAAAAAATTATCGATAACAACTTTCCTATAGACAACAATTGTCGATAACAACTTTTCTATAAAGAAAAAGTTATCGATAACAACTTTCTACGGAGGAAAGTCGTCGATAACAACATTTGTATAGATATGCGTTGTCGATAACGATGTTTCGATATAGAAAAATAACATTAATATTCAGAAAAGTTATCGATAACATTTTTTCTATAAAGAAAACTTGACGACAATAACATTTTTATAAAGAAAAAATGATCGATAACAACATTTTTGTAAATAAAATTTACCGATAATAACTTTTCAATAGATACAATTGATCGATAATACCTTTTTCTTAAAAAAAAGTTATCGATATCAAGGTTTCTATTGCGAAGGGTTACAGATAGCAAGTTTTCTATAGAGAAAAGTTATCGATAAAAACTTTTTTTATAGGGAAAAGTTATCGATAAAAATTTTTCTATAGAGAAAAGTTATCGATAACAGTTTTTCTATAGAGAAAAGTGATCGATAAAAAATATTCTATAGTGAAAAGTTATCGATAACAAATTTTCTATGGAGAAAAATTATCGATAACAACTTTTCTATAGAGAAAGTCTATCGATAACATTTTTTCTATTGAATAGAGTTATCTATGATGGGTTTTATAGATAGATAATTTATCGAAAACAACTTTTCCGTAGCCACAAGTTATCGATAATAAAATTTTCCATTGAGTAATTTTTTTTCTTTGCCAAAAGTGCTTTCAAGTATTTTGTCTTTACAACTTAAATAACATCAAGTGATACCTACCTCCTGCCTCCTCAGCCCATTGAATATCTGCAAATGGGCCGAATTCTGTATCCGATTCATCCACACCGACAGCACATTCGTGTTATTTAGCCAATCAACTACGGTGATAATATAATCACTTTCTGTGTTCAGAGCACTGGGCCGTGGGATCTCAGTCAAGTGGTCTGTATTACCACCAGCAGCTCTTGCTAAATCCGATGTAAACAGTTTGACGCGGGGATTTGGTGAGCCGGACTTCGGGTAGGCCACCAAACGATTGTAGGGATATTGGAAACGGATATCACCAGCTTCGCCATAGATGGGGAAGTTAATGACAGGCGTTGGACTATCGTCGAATTGGATGAAGGCCAGTTGGCTGCCGTCGGGACTGAACCAGACGGCCGAATTCGAGGCGAATACCTCCTCTTCGTACACCCAGTCGGGTATACCGTTCAGAATGGCCAAATTCGTATCGTCGGTGAGGGCGATTTCTTGGGCGAAGGCGGTTGGCTTGTAGTAGAGGTTGCGTTGGAAGTTAATGACGAGGGCATTACCCACCGGGGCCCATTGGACCAAAATCAGGGGATGGACTTGGTTCTGGATGAGCAACGGTTGAATTTGTCCGCTGGAAATGTTGTAGATATCGTATTCGGCCTCGTAACTGTGGCGGAAGTTCTTCTTGTAGTTCTTGGCCAGAAGCAGGAGAGTGCCATCGGCTGATTTCTCAAAGAGCACATATTGTTGCTAAAAAGGCGAGAGAGAGAGAGAGAAATAGAGGGATGAATTAAGACGGGTAAGGAATTAGTTTGAGAAAAAGAGATGTGAATATTTAAATACAGTTCCTGGACTCCCGTGTAAACCACGTAATATAATTCTCATTCACTCCAATAAATGTCTAAAGAAAACAAATCACATCTCTTTCTCCCTTAATTTTTTGTTAATTTGAGCCTCATAATCCTCTCCGCCTTCCCAAAGGACTCTAGCCAATTTTTCTACTTACAGCCTCATCCATCATCAGCGTGGTTTTCATTTTCGTCTTGACATTCAGCTCCACAATGGCCTGCAAATTTTGAAAATTCTTTATGGTAGCATTTTGATTGAAATCTTTTCGATGGGTCACAGCATGATGACAACAACTTACATGATTTTCCTTGTAGATCACATTGGGTCCATTCGACCAGCTGCCATTGAAGGAACGCGACAACAGCTTACCCTGTAATATATCCTCCAAATGGATGCCATTGGATGAGCCGGAACCACCACCATTGCCACCATTGCCACCATTGCCGTCGCCATTTGTCGAGTCATCACTGCCTGCTGTCACAATAAAATAGATGCCAATAGCCACTAGAATCGCAATAAGAATGCCGCACACGATAATTATACGACGTTTTCGTAATTTTTGTGGCGATGGGACAAGGTTCTGAAAATAAAAAAGACAAGAAAAGGGGAAGAGGGAAAGGGGAAATAGTATTATTAATATGTTTTATTAACATATTGAATTAACTAAGAAATCTCTGATGCCTGTTGGAAAATTTTGAGTTTCAACCTAGATTTTATCAAAAAATCGATATCATTTATATGGAGAAATTTTATTTCCAAAAACGAAATGTCGAAAATGCATGAAGACAAATTGTCAATAAGCAAAGCAAAGTTGTTATCGACCACTTTTCTTTGTAGAAAGTTATTGCGTATACATTTTCTTCATAGAAAAGTTGTTATCGACAACTTCTCTTTAAAGAAAAGTTATCGATAGCAACTTTTCTATAAAGAAAAATTATCGATAACAACTTTCTACAAACAAGAGTTAGCGATAATAACCTTTCTATGAAGAAAAGTTATCGATAACAATATTTCTATAAAGAAAAGTTATCGATAATTCTGCAAAAATACATTTCATGAACGATAATAACTTTTCTATGAAGAAAATTTTTCGATAACAACTTTTCTGTAGAGAGAAGTTATCGACAACAAATTTTCTGTGGATAAATGTTATCGATAGCACCTTTTCTGTGGATAAAAGTTATCGATAGCACCTTTTGTGTGGAGAAAAGTTGTCGATAACAACTTTTCTATGAAGAAAAGTTGTCGATAACAACTTTTCTGTGAAGAAAAGTTGTCGATAACAACTTTTCTATGAAGAAAAGTTGTCGATAACAACTTTTCTATGAAGAAAAGTTGTCGATAACAACTTTTCTATGAAGAAAAGTTGTCGATAACAACTTTTCTATGAAGAAAAGTTGTCGATAACAACTTTTCTATGAAGAAAAGTTGTCGATAACAACTTTTCTATGAAGAAAAGTTGTCGATAACAATTTTTCTATGAAGGAAAGTTGTCAATATTAACTTTTTTTTAAAGTTGTCGATAACAACTTTCCTTTTTGGAAAATTTGTCGATAACAATATATTAATAGAGAAAATGTGCCGATAACAACTCTTCTTAAAAGACAAGTTGTCGATAACAAATTTTCTGTGGATAAAAGTTATCGATAACAAATTTTCTGTGGATAAAAGTTATCGGTAACACCTTTTCTGTGGATAAAAGCTATCGATAACACCTTTTCTGTGGAGAAAAGTTGTCGATAACAACTTTTCTATGAAGAAAAGTTGTCGATAACAACTTTTCTATGAAAGAAAGTTGTCGATAACAACTTTTCTATGAAGGAAAGTTGTCGATAACAACTTTTCTGTGAAGAAAAGTTGTCGATAACAACTTTTCTATGAAGAAAAGTTGTCGATAACAACTTTTCTAAGAAAGAAAGTTGTCGATAACAACTTTTCTATGAAGGAAAGTTGTCGATAACAACTTTTCTGTGAAGAAAAGTTGTCGATAACAACTTTTCTATGAAGAAAAGTTATCGATAACAACTTCTCTATGAAGAAAAGTTGTCGATAACAACTTTTCTGTGAAGAAAAGTTATCGATAACAACTTCTCTATCGAGAAAAGTTGTCGATAACATATTTTCTATAGAGAAAAGTTATCGATGACAACTTTTTACAAAAAAGAGTTAGCGATAATAACCTTTCTATGAAGAAAAGTTATGGATAACAATATTTCTATAAAGAAAAGTTGTCGATAACAACTTTTCTATAAAGAAAAGTTGTCGATAACAACTTTTCTATAAAGAAAAGTTGTCGACAACAATTTTTCTATAAAGAAAAGTTGTCGATAACAACTTTTCTATCGAGAAAAGTTGTCGATAACATATTTTCTATGAAGAAAATTTGTCGATAACAACTTTTCTATGAAGAAAAGTTGTCGATTACAACTTTTCTATGAAGAAATGTAGCCGATTACAACTTTTGTATTGAAAAGTTATCGATAACAACTTTTCTATGGAGAAGAGATGCCGATAACAACTCTTCTATGAAAAAAGTTGTCGATAACAACTTTCCTATGAACCGCTTTTTCCATAACCGCTTTGTTCCACTACCAATTTTGTTTTTTTTTGTTGCTATTGTGTTATCATAATCGCATTAAATTTTACAACTTTATTGACAAATTCAAATCCGTTTGTTGTTCCTTCCAATCCATGCCAGGAAACCATCTGTACAGCAACCATTACATATGTGTGTGTGTGTCTCTGTGTATTTGTGTGTTTGAGCTCCATAAATCATTTGCTGTAAATACAACAGCTTATGGAATTTTCCGCAATTTTGACCATATTAAAATCCACTTCTATTCATTGAAAAATAAAGCCAAACCAATAACAACAGGAACAACAAAAACAACAACTTCCCAATAAAGACAAAATACCGATACGAACGGATTCGAAAAAAAACAGCCCCAAACAAACCACAGATGAATTTCTATAATCTCAATTAAACCCCCACTTCACCCAGTTCGGTATTTGTGGTCAAAGACCGACTGACTAACCACCCGACCGATCGACCAACTGATGGCATAGTTACCGTCACTTTGACCATTTCAGGATGGGGCTTACTGTCCATTTGTTTGTTTGTTTGCTGGATGACTGGTAGGTTGGCCGGCCGGCTGGCTTGCTTGGAGCGCTTTTTGTTGTTGGGGATGCTGTTGTTGTCGTTGTTGTTGCACAAAATAATTACATAAAATTCACAACTCTACCATCGGCCCATGTTGGGTCAATAGGAGCAACAACTGCAACAAACCGATGCCACATAACCGATTTTTAAGCCCTGTTAAAATGTTTGCTGATATCGGTCAGTTCGGATCTGGTTTTTTCGCTTTCATTTCCATGTGGTCAGGTATATGTGTGGTTAGACTGTTGTAATAGTCCCGCTCACCTCTCCCCACCCGATCACCACCACCACCACTACCGTGCGTGCCATCTAGGGTTAGTTTGGTTTGTTAAGTGGTAAAAATTGCATTACATTTCGTTCGATTGTAGAAATTATGCAACTGGGGGGGCAGGGGGGTCGGCTACGCACATTCACTTCCACTTTTAGCCATGACAACATTTCGCTTTCCAAAAATGTTTAAAATAAATCGAGTATTACTGCAATTAATTTTGTTGTATAATTGCTAATAGAAAATCGATAACTGAATTCAAGGGTAAAATTTAGTGTCGACAACTTTTTTTCCATAGGATAACAACCTTGCTATGGAGAGAAGTTGTCGATAACAACTTATCTAAAACGAAAAATTGTCGATAACAAACTTCTTGTAAGTAAAACTTGTCGATAACAATTTTGTTTTGGAGAGAAGTTATCGATAACAACTTATTTGTAAAGAAAGGTTATTGATAAAAACTTTTCTATAGAGAAAAGTTATCGATAACAACTTTTCTATTGAGAAAAGTTATCGATAACAACTTATCTGTAAAGAAATGTTATCGATAAAAACTTTTCTATGGAGAGAAGTTATCGATAAGATCTTATCTGTAAAGAAAAGTTGTCGATAACAAATTTTCTATGGAGAGAAGTTATCGATAAGATCTTATCTGTAAAGAAAAGTTGTCGATAACAACTTTTCTATGGAGAAAAGTTGCCGATAACAACTTTTCTATGGAGAAAAGTTGCCGATAACAACTTTTCTATGGAGAAAAGTTGTCGATAACAACTTTTCTATGGAGAAAAGTTGTCGATAACAACTTTTCTATGGAGAAAAGTTGTCGATAACAACTTTTCTATGGAGAAAAGTTGTCGATAACAACTTTTCTATGGAGAAAAGTTGTCGATAACAACATTTCTATGAAGAAAAGTTATCGATAACAACATTTCTATGGAGTAAAGTTATCGATAACAACATTTCTATGGAGAAAAGTTATCGATAACAACATTTCTATGGAGAAAAGTTATCGATAACAACATTTCTGTGAAGAAAAGTTATCGATAACAACATTTCTATGGAGAAAAGTTATCGATAATAACATTTCTATGGAGAAAAGTTATCGATAACAACATTTCTATGGAGAAAAGTTATCGATAACAACATTTCTATGGAGAAAAGTTGTCGATAACAACTGTTCTATGGAGAAAAGTTGTCGATAACAACTTTGAAAAAATTAATTTCTCCATAAAAAAGTTATTATCGACAGCTTTTCGTTATAGATAAGTTGCTGTCGACAACTTTTCGTTATAGAAAAGTTGTTATCGACAACTTTTCGTTATAGAAAAGTTGTTATCGACAACTTTTCGTTATAGAAAAGTTGTTATCGACAACTTTTCGTTATAGAAAAGTTGTTATCGACAACTTTTCGTTATAGAAAAGTTGTTATCGACAACTTTTCGTTATAGAAAAGTTGTTATCGATAACTTTTCGTTATAGAAAACTTGTTATCGACAACTATTCGTTCTAGAAAGCTTGTTATCGACAACTTTTCGTTATTGTTATCGACAACTTTAGTTATCGATAACAACATTTCTATGGAGTAAAGTTATCGATAACAACATTTCTATGGAGTAAAGTTATCGCTAACAACATTTCTATGGAGTAAAGTTATCGATAACAACATTTCTATGGAGAAAAGTTATCGATAACAACATTTCTATGGAGAAAAGTTATCGATAACAACATCTCTATGGAGAAAAGTTAACGATAACAACATTTCTATGGAGAAAAGTTATCGATAACAACATTTCTATGAAGAAAAGATGTCTATAACAACTTTTCTATTAAGAAAAGATGTCTATAATAACTTTTCTATTAAGAAAAGTTGTCGATAACAACTTTTTTATGAAAAAAAATTGTCGATAACAACTTTTCTATGAAGAAAAGTTGTCGATAACAACTTTTCTATGAAGGAAAGTTGTCGATATTAACTTTTCTATAACGAAAAGTTGTCGATAAAAACTTTTCTATAACGAAAAGTTGTCGATAACAACTTTTCTGTGAAGAAAATTCATCGATAACAACTTTTCTGTGAAGAAAAGTTATCGATAACAACTTTTCTATGGAGAAAAGATGCCGATAACAACTTTTCTATGAAGAAAAGATGTCTATA